CTTTCCAGGCTCCTCTGCCTCGCAGCTTGCAGGGGAGTGATGAAGAGCTGCCCCATCACAGAAGGCACGACTGCACTGTCTGGAACAAGCCCTTTCCAAGGACTTGCTCCTGAGTGAAGCGGAGGAGGTCCTCACAGTGGGCAGCCACATATTAGTACAGCAATGGTGATGACAAAACATCCCTTTCCTCCGTGGTCTCATTTCTTCAGCTCTTTGACTTTGTGATACTCTACGTTAAAAACAGGCAGCTGGGCACAGTGCTATCTCTGTACACACTCTTTTCCCTTAGACGAGAAATCTTCAGATAATTTTTGCAATCTACGTTTTTTTTCTTCTGAATTTCCTCATCGTGACTTCCACCGCTGTTCCTCCTGCTCCTGTATCTCCTGTCCCATGTCCTTCCCCACGCTCTTGTCACATGCTAGTACATACGGACACGAGATAACTGCCTTATCTCATCTTCCACGTGAATTGATAGCAGCCGTTTGTTTGCATGCGTGTGTAAATTCTTGCAGATTCCCTGTGTGATCCTTTATCACACCCATACAATTAGGGGAAGAAGAATTGATTTCTGACAACTTTCTCTTATCAAGTCTTTAACTGCTGAGATGATACAGTGCCCACAGGGAAAAAAAGAAAAAACATAAGGCTTGGGTGAATGCCTTGAGTTACAAGAAGCACTGCAGGTCTTCTCCATGAGAGAGAGATGTGAAGAGCCTCAAATCTTGTTATAAGACTCCATACATGTCACCTGGATGATGTGACTATGGTTGGGGCCGCAGCGGGTTTGCAGCTTTGCACATCCACTGTCACGCTTGCGTGCAAAAAGAGTCGAGGAACACGCTGGTGTACCCCAATTACAGCAAAACAAGCTTTGACAAGTGTCTGTGGCCTCGTTGGGGGGCTCTGAGAGGGAATAATGTACATGTATAAATGCTGGTGAGTTAGGTTTGGGGGGGGCGGAGGAGGATTGTGCCACACTGGTCAATGCCATCTCAATATACTCAAGGTTCACCAAAGAAGTATTTTATCACCTTGCAGTGAAAACCTGTCGGGTCGCGTGAAGTTCTGATCAGATCTGGGAACTTTGTTTTGCTCTCTGCTTCCAGCAAAGCCCGTGTGCACAAAGGGAAGAGTAATTCCTTGGCACCGCCCTTGCAAGAAAGCAGCTCGGAAACCCATCGCAGCCTTTTATCCGGATCCTTGGCCATAAGTCATTTCTATTAGCAGCGCCTTGCTATAGATGTTTATAACAAAACATTAAAGACTCGGTGAGAAAGAAGAAAACAAATTACTCTGCGGAGAACCTAGCAACTCTGCTAAAATACTGTCAGTTATTTATCTGCTGTCGGCAGAGGTTGCACACTGTAATCCTCGGCAGGCTCAGATTCGAGGGGGATGGAGAGAAGGGGCAGGGACTGCATCGAAGGGCCTGTTCTCATGCAAAGACATTTTAACACCGATTTAAAGCGAGAACGTGTCTGCTAGAGAATGTCACTTCTGATTTTGAAGCGTTTCCAAGCAGGCAGGGTCTACGTTGGGTTGACTTAGCGAGAGGCGTTGGGGCTAACGCCGTATTTTCGGGCACTGCTGGTCCCCACGAAGCACTAACGCAATGAGGTCAGCATCGCTTCATTTCGAGAGGTTTCCTGTAACAACAGCACGACTTCACAACGATCTTTTTTTTTTTTTTATGGTCTAGCCGAAGGGGGTTTTTCGTTAGGTGAAGGGGAACACGGGAACAACAACAACAACAAAAAAATCTTCCTTCTCTATTTTTTTTTTTTCCCAAAATGAAAACCACATGTAAATCATCAGCGTAGACAATGGTCGTTAAGTATTATTGTATAGGACAATATCTGCGAGCGCTTCGTGCTGGAATACAAGCAGGATACCACTGCCAATGTTTTACACACAAAAACCCCCTCACACATTACAGCACTTGGCTAAAATTAGTCCGCTTTACAAAGAGGCTCGCGCTAGGCCTAAGAAGGGGATGCTTTTAACTGCTGATGCCTGAATAAGGCACGCGATGCGTTCGCCTCTAATAAGGCAACGAGTGCTTATTTTTGGATGCACTGCATGGCGAAGGGGCTGCTTCCAGCCCCTTGTTTTCACCTGTGCCATCCGGGCCACGGGCTGAGGCTGCTCGAATGTTCGGCAAATGCTGAACCGGCACCTGAATTTTCTAATTCATATTCATCAATTAAAAATAAACCGTATTTTTCATAAGCAAATTTACATAAATCGGTTGCTAAAGCATCCTAACACTAAAGGGTAGGAGTTCAGCCCGGAAGATTTGCATGCAGCATCCTCAGACGAAGGCAGGCGCTTTCGATTTCCATCGAAAGCCTTGCTGCGCTGGAACTCTAATGGGCTTAAAACAGTAAATTTTGAAGAAACTGATTGCTGCCCCCGTAGCTAGTAAATGCCTGCCTGGACCCAGTGGCATTTGAAAAAAGTGTTTTATCATAAAATTATCCCAGCAGAGTCCATTCTG